ATTGTAAAATGAGAATTATTAATGGAGAGGAATATTCATTATCAAAGACTCAGTCTCATTTAATAATTAATATTGTATTGTTTGAACTGTATAATACTCATTCCTTTCATGAATAATACTATACTTTCTTTTAAGTATTGTTCAAATGCAGAAAATCACATTGTTAAAAGTTTAATTAACTTTAAGAGAAATGACATTGACATGATCGTTTACCTAAGGGTGCTTAAAACTCTCTAACCATTCTATTATTAGCCTGATGTGCAGAAGTAGAAATTAAAAGTGAAAGCACTTACTTAATCAAGCACAGGTCATAATTAAAGAAAATAATTTTGTTCGAGCTTGAGGCTTTTACTTCTCCATTTGATCAAGGTTAAGGACCTTAAGGCTATTGCTTTCTAATTGCACTTTCCCATGTTGGTTCTTCATTAATTAAGAGAAGGTATAACAAGTTGAGTGTAAATCTTCAAATTTAAAGTTAGAGGTTTGACATTCAAATTCTTGCATAAGCATATATGATAGGTTTACGGCAAAAACAAAGAAAGTTACTAATCAATTGTTGTACAACTTGCATTTATGTAAACCAAAGTGGAAACTCATCACATCTTTCCTTATCATAAAATTGGAAGGGCATACTGCATCTCAATTGTATACGCAAGCAGGGAAGAATGAATTAATCGCTATGATTGTGTTGCGAATTATATACATCCAGTCAATGCCTCTACAGAGCCTTGCTAGCTACTTTGTATGTTTGCTCTCGTGGATTGGATTCCATATGTATTCAAATGAGCTGACTTTCTATGTATACTCTCCACATCCAAAATTTTTAGCTCAGATAATTTTTTTCTCTTTTGGGGGATTTCTTATGTAGATTTAAGTTCATCAAATTAAATGCTATAAAAATCCCAAAAAATATGCTTTGTATGAAAGTGTTGTCTAGTTATAAGTTTATTCATTTTATTGTAAAATAACTGTCACTTTTTTACTTTTTTTTTTATATTAAAGATTTAGTAACAATTCATGTATTTACCTATATTACTTTTGAAAAAAACTAAAAAATAAAGTTAAACTTTTTGTGATATGATAATTAATCAAAATAAATTGACAATGATAGAATTAAACTAGAAAAAAAAATTTCTTTACCTCAAAAGATTAAAAAAAAAGACAATTAATTTGGGATAAATTAATTACTCAAAGTAAAAAAATGACAGTTATTTTTAGATAAATGGAGTAATTACTTTTATTATTATAAAACTATATAAAATATTAAGTAAAATTAGTAAAAATATATTACTAAAAATAAATTAAAAATTATTACAAATAATAAATTTATATTTTTTATAATAATAATTCTACATTTTTAGATAAAATATTATGTAAAAAAATCTTTAGAAAGTATTATCAAACAAAGTATAGTCATAATCTAAAATTATACATTTCAAGAAAAAAAAATAAAAATATAAGCAATCTAGCAAGTAATAATTAAACAAAAAAAAAAAAAAAAAACTTATCCTCAAAATAATACATCATTATTCCCAGCCATTATTCATTATATTGTGACGCATCCAAAATCTAATACCGTAATACGGATATGTGGCATTCTAGCTAGTTACACGACCAAATACATGCAAGATCAACGAAATGAGCCAGTGAGCAGTCAAAAGTGATATATAATCCACCCCCTCAATGCATGTGGTCCTCTTGCAATTCCTTCCCTAACTTTTCCTCTTCTTGTTCACATCTATAATAATATTGTGGTTAATTTGGCCTGCATGCAACTGCGCCTAATTAGTTTGGTAAATTACTTTGTTCAACGTTAAGGATTTGGCCCAAGGTATACATACTAATTGTGTATCCAAAGCGCACTAAAAGCCATTATAATAAAAAATTAATTTATAAGATTTCATCATTTTGGACGTATCATAAAGTTATTGGCTCCTTGCATTTCTGATTTAGCTTTTTTTTTTCTACGAACATTTATGATTTATTATTATTATTTTTTTACAAGAGCAATGATTAAGAGTTAGAGGTTGAAATTAGGTTAGTACTTTACTATTGACAAAGTTCGACCACTGGTAAGAATGCAAGTTACCGACAATCTTATTGGGTTGCAATGGCTATCAATAAGCCATAACAAAAGAATGCATCTACTGAGTATATAAATGTAAGGAGTGAATTGTGGAGCCGAGTTAATAGCAACCGAGGAACTAGTGAAAGTGGATTAGAGATGGTACAGAGATACTATGGGACAAGATCTTGGTCGGAACTCAGAACAAGATTTTTTTTTTTTTTTTATAAGGGCAATAATTAGAGGTTAATACGTTAGAAGTGTTAGTGGAGAATATTGAATCCGAGACTTGAAAGTGCAAACCACGGACTGCCTTTAGGGCAGCAAGTGACCGCTGGACCATAGCAAATGAAATGCAGAGAACAAGATTTAAACTCTTTAGCACAATCAGATCTCAGAACCTTCTTTGGACTGCAGATAGGGAGAAATTGTACCCGAAATTTACTAAGCTGACAATTGAAAGACATATTCATAGAGACCCACAATAGATGTGTACAATATCACCTCCCAAATTTCTTTAGACTTACTTCATCTGTCACGGAATAATAGTTATATATATATATAAATAAATATTATTTTATTTTAATCGTATCATTATTTTTATTATTTTTATTTATTAAAAAATAAAACATGTAAAAATAAAAATGGTCTATTATTCTAAGATAAAAAGGAGTATTAGAACCTTAATTATTATATCCTTCTATTATGGTACGATGATTCAGATCATCCTCATCTGAAAATGGATTCATTGAATTAGAGCATAATTTAATCTGTGTTTATATATATATAACTATAATTTGTGTAGAGAATCGTATGCATGTTAAGTTATTTATATTTAATTTAGAAACAACATGAAATGCAAGGGTGGGAATAAATTCATTTGTTTTCTTCTTGTCTTTCTCACAGTCACATGCAATGGATAGCAATTGAATGTTTACACTTAAAATTTGATGGCAGAAATCATTAAACGAAATAGGTTTTTTATTGAATAAATCCTTTAATTAATAGTAGTCTTCTTTTCCTAAAATAAATAAAACTTCTTTAACTAGTCTTCCTTCAATCCCCAAATGGGGTTTTTGTCATTTTAAGGTTGCAGCTTTGCAGGTGACGTAATTGGCGGGCTTTTTTTTTTTTTTTTTTCTTTTTTTTTTCAAATTTTCAGTAAATTTTATATCGTGCCTGAGTTATGATATCTATATACATATATAACATATATATCTATATATATTGTGGGTTTGCTTAACTGGTTTTAGAAACATAAGTTAATAATATAAGAAATGTATTTTTTATAATTAATTTATATAAAAATATATATAAATATTTATTATAATATTATCGTCACATGAATAGTTTTACTTAATTAATTAGATTAAAATTAAAATTTATATTTTTTATATAAATTAATTAAAAAATATATAATAAATATATTTTTGACACACATACATATATACTAAAAGCACAACATAAAAAAACTCTTGTTTTATTTACCATTAGAGTATGTCATGATACATATACTTTTCTTCCCTAGGAAATGTTAAAAACGCACTATTAACCTCTTTTTTTTTTTTTTCTTTTTTGAACAAATTTGTAAAGAGTCAAATTCAAACTATTGTTCTAAAGAAAAGAAAAAATACACTTATATGTGACTTGACGTTGTTGGATCAAAGAACCAAGTGTACACTATTAACCTTCTTGAAATATTACTTTCAAAACTTAAACATTAAATTTAATTTATAAAATAATACTTTCTTTCTAATTCACCTTAACTCTTTAATTCTTTAGAGTTACATATACAATTATTACACTGTCTTCTACCATATAGGCTAAAAAAAAAAAACCACCACCAAAATTCATTAGAATACGACGAGATGCATGTTGTAACCCCGGAAAAAGAGGACTACGTGTTGCATGAACGGCAAAGGTAAATTGAAAAAGTACATATATATATACTTATATATATTTGGCAGTGATGAGTGAACCGTCCAAAAAAATTAGTTTACCTTAGCATTAGCAGACAATGTGTATTCCGAGAATATGATATAAGAATGTCATGCACCGTAGATCTGAGCCGTCCATGCCTTCCGGAAATCCTGTTGATGATTGCGGGGACCACAACCCGAACATGCCCCGTTTTGTCGTCCCAATCAACGTTGATCTCATGACTCCACCCCTACAATGAACTGATGACACAACACAACGTCACGTTCTTTCGCTTGAGTAACACATTTAAAAAAATTATAAAAATCAGGATCATGTGGGTGCACGTGCGCTCTGACAAATTTTCTTTTGCAGGCCCAACGCACATGGTACCCTTTCTTTCCCTTTCCTTCCCCCCTCGCCGATCTCGTTTCATGTTTTCTGTTTTTTTAATTTTTTGATATATGATAATTATATTAAATTTTAATTTATTTAAAATTAAATAATATTAAATTTTATTTAAAATTTTTTTTTCTTAACATTTACTTTTTTATTAACAAAATTTAAATTTAAAA